AAGAAGGTATGGTCCATTTAAGATCCTAATATAGATATTAGAAATATTTATATAATGAAATACAAAGTTTGCCAATTTTAAATATAAAATTTTTACACTTCGTTATCTCTTAGATTCCTTTTTCAATTCATAAACTCTTTGTCAACAGAAATATCTTATGGTGCTGTGTTTCCTTGCCTTTTTTCCCCCTTTATTTTTATTCTTTATTTTCTGAAACAAATGTATAAATATTACAGTCTATATTAATCCCCTCTTCCAAAATATTACAAACAGTTGGAACACATAAAGACAATACTACATATTCAACACTGAAATGGTAGGAAATAATATAAGAAGCAGAATACACCTTATAAAAACCTAAAAGGAAGTTTTGTCAGGAAAAGCAGAAAAATAGGTCACTTCAGCAAGTATCCATACCTGACTGGATAATATTAGAAAATACAAAAACAACATTATTGGCAAAATTAAGATTTCAAATTTCAAGCTGACCCTGGAATTTTGGACCTAAGCACAGAGATTGAGCCACACATTCTGTAGTTACACAGGTTTTTCTTTTCTTAGATTAAAGACTTTTGGTCTTTTGTGCAAGAGTTGAAAATTTCAGGTGTAAACCTCTGTACCATTTTAAATGCTGACATTTCTCATCAACTTGATTTTCTATTGAATTAGATTCTCCTTTAGTGATACTCTGGAATTAAGCCTGTCCATGAGGAGTTCACTGTAAAAGTTTTATATTTACAATGGCCTACAGTCTGTAGAAATACTTGCATCCAAGCACAGTAGTAATTTATTTTTCATTTTGTGCATCTATATATAAACATGTAAAAATCTAAATGCATCAAATGTGCAATACAATATATTAATTAGGTCAGACACTGGCCAAAAGCAGGTATTTGTGAATGAAAATTCAAACCCCTGAATTGCAGAGAATCATCAAAAGTGTTACTAAAACATTCCATCATGAAAATACACCAACAAAGCCTGCAGAACATATAGCTTTCTTCATTTCAGTATTAAAACCATTATACAAAACGCCATGCGGGTTCGATACAAATATGCTGAAAAGGAAGATTAATATGGCCATCTAGAGGAGAAAAGAATGCTATGAAAACATACAACACAATTTTTCAGGCTTCAGAATATGATGCTTTTAGAGGCATGCAGCCAGAAAAAGGATGTAATAAACAAATTACAGAATTGATAACAAGCAAACATTAAAAGAATACGTTCAGACATTTTGGTGGTCTGAATGATGCAAACATATTAATATTAAACACGTTGTTGGCAGGACAAGCAAAACATACAGGGTGTATTAATAAAGACAAGATTATGTTCTTGTCTCTGTTAGATTTTGTGAATGCAGAGTTAAGTACACACACATCTCAACAAATGAATTTTAAAAGGCAGAAGTTCAGAGTAAACAGTTATCAGAAAAACTGTTTATTGACTCCTTTAAAAACACTCAGCCCACTACTGCGAAATAGAACATGTCAGAGAGATTAGCTGCTGAAGAGAAAATTCAGCAGAAAAATACAACATATTCTGAAAACTAAGTATCATTTCCATTACTCATACTACTCTATCTTTGATGGAATTCATAGAGTCATGGAATCATGGAATGGTTTGTGTTGGAAGGGACCTTACAGACTACCTCATTCCAACCTCTCTGCCCTGGACAGGGACACCTTCCACTAGACCAGGTTGCTCAGAAATTCATCCAACCTGGCCTGGAACACTGCTAGATGTGCAGCACCCACAACTTCTCTGGGTAATCTATTCCAGTGTCTTGCTACCCTCACAGAAAATAATTTTTTCCTAATATCTAATCTAAATCTACTATCTTTCAGCAGATCTTCCAGATCTCCTTAAAACAACCACTCCCCCTTGGTCCTTATTCTTAATGATCAGGGGCTGCTTTACTGGCAACGAGCAGGAGGAAAACAGAGGTGAGACAAAAATTAATTCTGTCCTCTCATCACTTCACTTTAACACTATCAAGTGTTATATGCTCAACATATGGACTGATCAGTGCCTTACTATGGAAGCACAGCCAAAATGTTAAAGACTTAGAAGTAGAAATGATAAAGCACATATGAGAAAAAAGAAGCACACAAAGTCAAATGCACTGACAATTTTTTCTCATATTAAACAAAGTGCATAGGAACACACTGCTTGTTCCACAAAAGAGTCAATAAATGGTTCAATCATCTGTCTTTACACTTCTTATAAAAATAATTCAATACCTCTAAAAGCCAAGTATTTAATAAAAAACCTCAGTATTCCTGTGGCATTAAGTCTTCTACAGATTTTCTTCCAAGTTTAAGGAACAGAAAAGCTTTGCATTTTTAAAAATCACACTGAAACATCTGGAATGCTGATGCTTCCCCCTTGGAATCAGATTTTTAATGTCTTCTGTTAAGTGAACTGCTTCTCTGAACACAAATGAACAGCTTGGTAGTAATAATCTCTCCTTTATTTCTGATTGCAGGCCTTCATGAAGTTGTCACCTCTTTTTATCAAAGTTCTATGTTGGGCAGCTTTCCCTCTGTAATGATCATCACATAAGGCATACGCTGTCTCTTCCTGTATTCTAAAACATTTTTATCATTGTGCAAATATTCTTTGAAGTAATTTAGGAAGAACATAAAAAGTACTAACACTAATTAATCCAGCATGCCACCTTCAGGTCACTGAGAAGTGAAAAATGTTAGGTTGTTAATCTGCTACTATGTCCAAAACTTTTTTTTTTCATAGTATTGAACATAATTTTGTTGAGAATAATGGATTAATAAAATGAGACAAACTCCTCAGTCTAATTTGCAAGCATTTTGCCGAACATAAGGTGTAGAATGATTGCAGGCTGTCAAAAAAATAACACTGTTTATTCTCCATTCCTTGTAAAATGTGGGAAGAGAATGCTCTCATAAGGAGCAGCAAAAGCAAAATACTGACATTATTAAAGTTTTGTGCAAGTAGAAGTATGTGATTAAAAAAATCTAAGTTTTTAAGTTAGAATGTTGTGATAGCTTTTGTTTAAGAAGTTTTTTTTGCTTCCAAACCCTGAATGCTCTTTCATTACAATAAATTTTAAAATGGCATTTATATTCACCCTGCTTCCAGAATGGAGAGAGCATTGAAAAAGAATAGGACCTGGTGACAGATATATTTAGCAATAGAAGAACAACAAAAAACAAGGAGGGGGTAACAACTGTAACTTTCTGGATGCAATATTTGGACTTGCCAAAAAGGTTCTTTTGTCTTAGGTTGCAATCCTGATATAGATTTCCAGACTGGAAATTATCACTCCCCAGGACAAAAATCAGTAAATATAAATTCCGATGACTTAAAAGGATGATAAAGAACACAATTATTAAAAAAAAATTGGACACAGGCTAGCACAATGCCTTTGAAGCTTAAATCCTATATGGCCAAAGTAAAAGGCTCAGATGAACTCGGGACTTTTCACTGAGAAGATGAACTAGATTGGATTAAAAAATCAGAGCAATTACAAAATTGAAAGAGGGAAGTCGTGTAACTACGGCTATTTTAACAACTAGCCTCAGTGTTCTGCAGAGAGAGAAATACCTAATTCTAGATATCTGAAGGGAGTCTGCCTGTGTAATTCTCTTATAATTCATATCTGGTATTATTTGCTAATCATTTTTCCATCTCCTGTTAATATACATCATCATTCTTTCCCAACAGTGACAGAAGCCATAAAAAAGCCTCTCACATTCCCTCCACCAACACTGTTGAAAGATCTCAGTAGATATTAAAACCAAACATACTTTTAATATCCCTATTCCTTCTCCATCACAGTGTTCAAGGATCAGTTTTTACCACCTGACCTCACCTTTGCATCTCCTTCCCTGTTTGTTGGAACTCAGACTACCTGCCTTCCTGCAATTTAACAGCAAAAGAAAGAAATGAATTTTCTCATGATCAGAAGAGAATCCTTTTACTCTGCAAGTTACTTGAATGTGGTTTTCATGTCCTTCAAGTTTTAGCTTAGAATCATGAATGACCATATACTAATTTCAAATTTCAACAGCAAACAGACTTTTATGTAATTTAATTATATCAAATTGTAGAGATTGTAAATTTTTTCAGGCCTTTCTACACTGTATAGAACATTTAAGGTGAAATATCTTGTAATGACATATACCCACTTTTTATTAGAAAACATCAAACACCAAAAAACTTTTCCATTTTAACATACTAAAGAAAGACCAAAAATACCTTACTATAATATAGTACCTGTATCAGAATGTGACTTTTCCCTAGCTCCAGGAAAAACTCACTTTTCATGCTTGAAACTGGCTATGGACATAGTTCTCACACAACTACTTTCAAATGCAAAAAGCATATTGACAAAATATCGACAGCAGAACTCTCAGCCTCTACATCAAGCTGTCACCCCAAGTGAAAATCAAGAAATATACAGCATGTAAGAAAACATTCACTGTTTAAATCCAACTTTTACCACCATGGAAAAATACATTAACCTAATCTTTATAGTAATTTCCTTGTGTCATTTCAGGAGAAGAAAAGATACAGAACATTCCAGCAATGCACACTGCAATGACCATATGCACTGTAGCCAATAGCCAATTCCATTTACTTTTTTGTTAGAACAGCTTATCAGTACAGAAATAACATGTCTTCTTTGTATTTATAATACCACAAATTCAACAAGAGTTGCCATGTTTCCTTCCTAAATAAAGACAGCTTAAATTGCCCCAAAAATGAAATGAATAATGATAAAATTAAATGAAACTTAATATAACAAGATATGGTATCATTTGTAGTATCTCTGGAAGAATGTATACAAGTGTGTGCTTTTCTTAGTTTTTTTGAGCATGCACTAATAGAAGAGGTGTCTGGATATTTCTTGCAGACATTGACTATTTGCTAGCCAAGCTGCTCTCGTCTTGGACTTACTTATCCAGAACACAATTGTGAAATTTGGAATAAAAGGAAGGCTTTTAAATAGCTCTTACCTTCATCTATTGAGGCTTCACTACTGTATCCATCATATTCTGCAGACAGGGGACTATATTTTTGTCTGGTTTCCCATATATAGTTTTTTTGCTGTCTGCCATCCACCACTGGCAGCCTGGAACTCTGGGTTCTAGACAGGGCCTCATGATATTTACCCAGTGCTTCATCTTCACTCTCAGATGATGAACCATGCTGGTCTTTACTCATATAAGAATTGTCTGTTTGAATAAAATAGAGCAAATCGACTACAGCTCAAAATAGAATACAAGAAAATAACCATAAGAGGTTATCATTGAAGATATTTAAGCCATTTCAATTAAAATTTCTGTAATATTTTAAAAATACCTTGTTGTAATTACAAGCATTGTGATTTTGTAATTGCTGAGAGCTGTTCTCATTTTCTAGAAGACCTGAAAGATTATTAAGCCCCAAAAAACCACACTACCACTTATTCAACAAAAAACAGATCAATTAATGTAAGGTGGCACATGGACATTCTTGAAACCCTTCATAAAGTAGGAAAATGCTTAAAATAATTTATGTCAAGGAAATCCAACACTGCTGCAATATCACATTTGGATACCTTACATATCAAGCAAGCTGCTCCTGATCCTAGCTGATTCCCAGCTGATTTTCACTGTGAACATGTAGCATAGCATAGAAATGAAACTGATTTACAAAAAGAAGCCTACAACAAAATAATCTTTAGGGTAGTTATGCCAGTAGTGCTTAAACTCACAATAACAAATGGGAAAATGCTAGTGAAAGATGTTTGCATGCACAATTTTATTTAACTTACAATAAACAGCTCCTTGTTCAATAACTGAAATTAATGCAGATTTTTCCTGCAGACATCTGGCAACAGCAAAAATTACATGGGAAAAAAATCTATCTAGTTAATTCTTTTATAGCAGTTCTGCAGTGCCTACTCCTGTGGCCAACATTTTCCAACTACATCTCAAGCATGACTTCATCCCACAAATCAAAGATTTGCTGTATTTTTATTTCTGTAAAGGGAAGATTTCCTCCTCCCTTCTTCCAAAGTTCAATTTGATTCTATCCACATTTAACATGCCTTGCAGAGGTTCTGTAGATCTCAGACTCTAATAGGCATTACGAGTTCATGTGAGCCCAGAAGTTAGCATTACCTCCACTCTGAGAGCAAACCTATGGTATATGATTTGCCAGTGCATTTCCATTACCAGCAGAGCTTTGAGGTGCCCATAATGCTGCTTCTCAGCTCCTGAATCTGAGGGAATGTTGTCTAACATGGTACCCAGCCACACTCAACTGCTTCTCCCCTCCCTGCTTTTATGCCCTCAGCTCCAGATCTGTGTTTCCACTCCCATTAGTGTCTGTCTTCATGCCCAGCCAGTCTCACTCATTCCTGCTGAAAGAGAGATTCAGCTTATTCAAAAACTAGCCAGTTAAAATTAAATTAACTCAATGTATGCCAGCCATCTAGATTTCTTTTACAGTCAAGTGTTTGCCTCTTAGTACTACAGAGGTCTGTCCTTCCTACTTTTAAGAATCACTTCCCATAGAGGTCTTTTTCTCCCAGGTACTCATACAGAAAAACCTCTGCTGCAAGTTTAGGTAAGAAACTTTTTGGAAAGCTACATTTACACAAGTAGAATCCTATGCCAAGTTCCTGTCTCCCAGCCACACACTCCAAGTTCTCCCTCCAAGCACCCACATTTGTTTTCTTACGGTGATTTCCTCTGTTCTCTTTGGCTGTTCAATCCCAACGTCTTTACTTGTACTTAACCAACTACTCATGTAACCTTGGTCTTTGACCTTTAGTCTCTCCACCTTCATATGAAGTTCTCATTTCTCTCCATAGCTGTCACCTTTCCTAGTTTAAATCCCAATCTATCACGTGCATCAGGTCCTACTGTTCAGAAGTTTCTGTCCTCACATAGAATACGTTTATTCTCAATTCTTCTGTTCAAACTCCCAGAGTCCATCAGTAACCATAAGCATCAAAGACAGGGTAAAACCTGCTCTGCTCTTCAATCCCTACAATGAAGCATATGAGTGCAAATGGGATGGTCAGTGAATTTAACAAGCAAAGTATAAGAAGTGTTTACCATGTCTTTTCAAAAAGCAAACTTTCCAAAAATTTACAACTTTGTCAGACTTAGGTGTTTTTCATAGAAGAATATGGGCATCTCTGACATGGGAGAAGTGCTCTCCCACATCTCAAGCACATATTCCAATACACAAAGGTGCCACAGCATCTTTGTAAACCTGAGGTGAACTCTACTTTTTTTTTTTGCACAAATACCCAGCTTGTTTTTTCCCATAACCTATTTTTTGGAAACAGTTAAAAATTTTAAACTATAACTTAGAAAAAGACAAAAAACAATAGGATCTCAGACAGAAAGAATGCATAATTTTCTCAAAATTCTTTCAAATGTGGCACATAATTTACAAAATTCATAGTAAGATCTTGCAATGGAAATTGTCAGAAAACCTTATCTGGATGTGGGGTTACCAGCTCTACACACAATGTGTACAACAACTTATTTTACTAATTATAGGAAAAATGGTGCCTTAAAAGACCTCTAAGGAGAAACTAGATCTTTCAGCTCTAGACTATTAATTGAAGTCTAGCAGATATGGTTCTTCTCATTTATGGATGGCTATAAAGCAAGTTCAATTTCAGTGATCATTTACTGAAAATATCACACCAAGTAGGATATATTCTGGCTAACATGTTCACTGCAAGAGGCTACCCAGAAAAAGGAATCTCTAAGTGTTTTGCTGTAACACAAGGTAAAATTTTGTATTTCATATAGCCCTCCAAGGGTTGAAACCTGCCACATTGGAACTTCTACAGATTCACACAACTATAATTAAAGCAGAGTATACCAGGCAAAAAATACACTGCCAGACATCAGTATTAGGTGCCTCCTTTAACATTACAAGAAATGTATTCACAAATAGGAAATCAGGTTCATTAATCAGCCTGCATAAAGAACGGAATAGTATAAAACACAGCAGCAACATGTTTGAAAGAAGAGTTGAAAGTTATGTCTCTAATAATACACTGATTTTTCTAAGCATCCAGAAGTTCTCAGTGATAGCAGGTTTTTATTTTTTCTCCAGTTCCTATCATAAAAGAATAAGAATGTATACCATTATTAGAAGTCATGAAGCAAGACCTTTTCAGAGGACTTAAAAACCTCCTCAAAGTTCAAACATAAGCTATTCATGCAAATTTTTTTTTTTAATTACAAAGCAGGTAAGTTTCAGTTTCTTGGGAAAAAGTAGCTTCCTGTACATTAAAAAAAAAAAAACTCAAAACCAAAAAACTCAGTTTAGTGCCTTTGCTTGCCACTTCTCATTTGATTTTCACACCTTATTTGGAAACTTGGCTAAGACAATTTATGTTCTTAGCAAAACCTTTCCTTTATTTGGCTGATACAGGTCATGAGCAATTATTAATCTCTTGAAAGCTACTAATTTGCTTATTATGGACCCTAAATGCCATTTTGCCATTTTTGAGAGAATATACTTTACAAATCTATTATTATGTAATGAAATAGATAAGATCATAGTTTATCATACAAACATGGAAAACACTCCTAATTCAAACTTAAAAAAACCAAACAAACAAAACCAAACCAAAACTCAACAAAGCAGATAACTGAAATGTTCTGATAAGGAAAACAGACACAACTGAAGGAAAAAAAATGGGTTTCTATTAGGAAATCATTCATTTCTGTACAGAATCAGCACCTGGAAACATGAAAAAGCATGTGTTTCTTTCTAAAATTTTAGTATGCAACTTGCAAACATATGTAAAATTGCGAGGTTTTACTTCTTCCTTACAAACTGCTATTGCAATTCCCTTATCACACTAAGACTGGATGTTGAAGACGGCACAAAAAGTATCCATAACAACAACACACAGGTTTTCTTTTAAGAACAACTTTAAGACAAGCCTCATTCACTTCTTTCTATACTTAAAATCACTTAATTGCCATTTCTTATTGAGTTTCTCATTTCTCATTGTGTCTTGAAATCATTATCTCACATATCCCAGAAAAATTCTGAAGATCTACTGTAATGTAAATGCAAAAGAAGTTATTCCTTTTAGTGTCATAGCACATTTCATGCAATGCTTTTAAAAGAAACAAAATACAAATAACTTTCACAGAACAAGTATTAACTTCCAGTATTAATTAATTCATAGTTTTCAGCAGAAACCACACAAGGCAGAGAAGGCAAGAAAAACTGTATAAAGAAAGAGTAGAGTTAGAACATAGAAAAGGCATTTATTAATCAGTTCCTTTAAGTTATACTGTGGAAAGTAATTAACTTCCAAGAAACATCAACATAATTAGAAAATGAAGCACTGAAACAAACCTGGCCCTTTCACTGACAGGAAAAACTATTATTAAATGTGTAAATTAGGTGAAAAAGGAGGAAATATCATAAGTTTCAGGAAAGGCTGAAGAATGCAGTTTGCTGACAGACTCCTCACCTTTTCCTGTTGTCTTCTTATTACATAGCTCTCTTTCTAATTTCTTTGAGTTTTTCCTTTTGCCCTCATTTGTAGTTGACATATTGCCTTCATCCTTTGAGATGGGTTTTCTTTTTCTGTCAAAGAAGGCTTCAGATTTCTTTTCTTTGATTTCATTAAGGCAACTGGGATGGTCATTGTGCATCTTCTTCAAGCTGGAATCTGTTAATTTCTCCTTCTGTACTTCAACAAGCTTTGTTTCTACATCTTGAGGAACATTCATACTGTGCACTTTATCAGAATCTTTAAAATCAGCTTGAGGTGAATGTGGTTTGATTTTTTTATGCTCACGATTCTTAGAATTATCTGACACTGCATATAAACAATTATCTTGCTCCTCTATAGATTGCTCCACTGTAAGTTTTTTACTTTTCAGGTTACTATCCTTCAAGAACTTATCATTTGCAAAACACTCATTTCCCCCTACTACTTCCCTTTTAAAAGGTCCTCCTAAAGTCTTTGAATCCTGATGTTCTTCTGTATCACTGAGAGGATTATTATGATCTGTGCCTCTTAACTGGCACTGGTTTTTGTTCAAAGCATGGTCAGATACTCCAACTTGACTTGTACCACTTTTTACAAAATCTAACGAATTAGAATTATGAGTCTCTTTATGTTCTGCAGCACCTCTCTTAGTTTTCATATTAATTTCCTGAGAATGAGTTAATGAGGATGTGTGTTCCTCTCTGCCTTCCACAGGTTTCTCACTCTGCGTTTTGGAGCTCTCATCCTCTGCCCGCAGGCCATTGATCATGCTGGTTACTTGCTCTGTCACTGAGTCAGCTACAGAGTAGCCAACCTCACCAACAACACTGGCCAGGTCATCCACAGCACTGCTGAGCGTGTCCACCAGGGAAGACATCGAGGGAAGGCTCAGATTTTGCTGAAGGTTTCTAAAAAACGCCATTTGTCCAGCCTATCCAGCAACAGATCTTAACACTGACAGGTCCTCTCTTTCACAAACTGACCACCTCTGTTTCTTCAATTTCAGAGCTAAAGCCAATGTATTTACCAGGGGAAGTTGCAGCTTTTCTCTTTTCATTCAATTATCATTGCAAACAATAAGAAAACAGCTAAATAAAAATCTTGAAGCCACAATCAACCAGCAAAACCATAGTCCTTCATCAACTGCAGCATCAACTAGCCATAATAAAATTCATTATTTTCAAAAACAAGACAACTGTGTGAAGTGGAATTTTTTTAAATTCTAACCTGTGAAGAAGAAGTTGTGAGACATTTAAATTTTCATCAGTGTCACACTAAAACAGGCTTTTAACATAACACAACACATATCGTAGAGACTTTTTCACCCCAAAATATCTGTTGTCTTTTACATAAGCTAAGACACTTTGGAATATCAAGACTTGTTTTGTAGCAAAAAAGAAAGTTAATATGACAGACAATCTCTGGGGAGAACATTTTTTTCTGCCTCCTGGAAAATTGAAAATTAAAATTTAGCTCCATCTTTTAGAGAGGTAGAAGGGAAGAAGGCCTCTTTGATTTCACATTCTGTTTTCTGGTGCCTGGCTCTTTCTCTCTAGTTAACTAACAAAGCCTGTTCAATTTTCACAGTACAAAAGTTTTACCAACCCTCAGTATCTTTTTCAAGGTCTAATTTCTTTCATTACACATGATCCCTAAAGACCTTGTATTAAAAAATATTCAATAATGTGTTAGTCAGATATAAGATATCACTAAAATTATTCTTTAAAATTATTTTCCGGGTGAATAAAAGCAAGACCTTCTCCAAAAGTATGGCAAAGGATTTTAACAGGCTGAGTGAAAATCCAATAATCCCGTTCACAAATTTACCTGAAAAGATTTAATTATACAAAATTATGGAATGTTTAAAAAAAGTTCAAGAGTATTCTCAGAGTGCAAGAGAAGTATCTCTCCATAAGTAAATGCAAACTCTTTGGTTAGATAACTGTTGAATTTCTGTGGCTTGTCAATACAAAGGTTTGCTCCTTTCAAGTACTGCAGTCACAGGAAAAGCCAACATTGTTGTGTTGCTATATCCTTGTAAAAACGTGCACTCTCATAATTAAGTTTAGTACACTGTATGTCAGATACTTACAAAGTTTATCTTGTGAATTCTTTCTTGTAGTGTATCCTGAATCGAGATCTGGGAAACCACTAACATTTTCAATACACATCTTCTTATTAATATATAGGAAAAGTAGCAGCATGAGAATAATGAACACCCCAACTGCAGACAGGAATCCAATTGCTTCCGGAGATACTAAAAGAAACAGAAAGAAATAACTTTTTAAAAACTTTGTAAAGGTTTGCAAAGTTGTAATATTACCAGAATTGATCATTAATAAATACCTCAAAAGATGCAAATATATATGCCATATATAATTAAAACCCCACCATTTAAATCTGAGTTAATGCTTAATCATCTTTTCAAAGAACAGAAAGCATGTGGTCCTAATCTGAGAGGGACAGACACTGTGAGCAAGAGGTTCTCATGGAGGACTGGACAGTCTCTGCAGAAGAACAGGGAGATTATCAGAAGCTGCCAAAACCAATGATTTCTAAAGGAGCACCTGAGACAGCACTGGAAAGGAGCTAAGAGCTCCCCATCTCCTGGAGGTTTGGCTGCCTCTGCTCAGGGCCATTTTGAGACAGCGCTGTTGAAAAAGGACTGAGCCTTGGCCCTGTCCATCTTGTCATGTTCAGCACCTGGCTCCTCTTCCCTCAGGGACCAGCTGGCTCACCCAGGTCTCTGACAAGCAGGATGTTTTATGAGCAAAAAACAGAGTGAGAAAAACCATGTATGGTCACTTGCATATGAACCAAGAAAGAGCTAATAGAAAATGAAATAGAGGTAAAGCACACTTAAACCCAAGTGGGGGGGAAAAAAGGCCAAAGTAGACTGACATGTCTTAGAGAATGTGTAAAATAAAGAATATGTAAATGCTATTAAGCAGATAACTGCAAGGCAGTATTGGGGATCTTTGAAAGGTTTAGCATCTTTGACATCCACCAGTATCTAACAACATCAATTACACCATTTAAGACTAAGATTGTCAAGGAGTTTTAGAAATGTGAAATCTGCAAATGAATGTGGCAAATTGAAGCAATGGGAAAGAGTATTTAAATGGCAATTTGTTTATTTGAAAGGAGAGTGGGCAGGGAAAGGGATACAGAAGAGCAGCAAAAACAAGAATCTGGAAATGTGAGAAATAAGTACCAACTTATAAATGCAGTTCAAGACCAAGAGAGGGCAGATCTTTTGAAAGGAGTGCAGATGCCCACAGACTATAATGAAGCTGAGCTGCTTCATTAATAAAGGCTGCCAGGATTTCACAGGGAAGGCCCTTAGGAAACCCAGTGGAGTCTCCACAAGCCTTATATTCAAAAAACTTGAAGCAAGAAGTTAAAATAGTGACAGGATTGCAAATTTATTATTAAGTAGGGTGGGAGGTTAAAGTGAAGGGTTATAAAACTGCAACTCAATAGCATTTGGATGCAATTTATAGGCAAAAATGTAATAAAACTCTAACTACACACAATTAAAAACCATGTAAAGCACTACAGAGCTGTGATTTCTAGTGATATGTAACAGATTCATTAATCTGTTAACTGGTTCATTACTAATGTACTGATAATTAAGAAACATTATGTCTCAAACCTGCATCCTAAACAGGAAGAGTAACACCTAAGAGTGCATTTTATGGCCATAACACACAGCCAACACACGTTTCAGAGCTGAACACCACTGCGTTAATCTGGATGAAAACTAGGATTTCACATATCACTTTTCTTCCTCCTGACTTTGCAAGACTACGCTCAACTACATAAATCCCGTTCTTGGGGGTTGACTTTTTTTCTATTTAATAAAGACTTATGAAGCTTTATCAGATTGACAAATTCTGTTTGCCAAGATCTCAGCACTTCACTTTAGGACTACAATGCTACATGGTAACATCTTTCACTATTTAAAAAGGAGTGGAATTAAAGAACAGCTGCCAACAGACTCAGCATTCAGAGATGCAATACAAAAGGACAAGATGCAAGAGTCCGAAATAACTACAAGAAGAGTTCCAATTGGACATGAGGCAGGAAAAACCCAGAATGAGAGGAGTTTATCACTGGAACAGATTGCCTAGATCAGTTATAGAATCCAACTTCAATGTTATCCCTGCTTTGAGCAGGGGACTGAACTGTAAATTACTTTCCCAGGAGCCTTCCAAATGAAATCATTCTCTGATTCGACATATGCCCTTTGTAAATCTGGGCTCATGCATCTATGTAAAAGTACTGACTGAGAAACACATGCAATTCCACAACCTCAGTTAGTTTTGCAGGATGACAGGGAACATTTGTGTCCATGGTGCTGTTCTTAAATTACTATACAGGTGTCTTTTAAATCTGACAAAGAAAGAAAGATCCAAAGAAATGTGCCTTAACCGTGAAAAACGAATTGGACAGATTAGCACTTCTGTTTTGAGCTGGACATCCAGACCTATCTAAACCTGGAAATATTTTTTTTCACTTCTTAACTCTGACCAGAAGAGACCATGTAACATTTTGCCTAAACCACCCCTGAAAATTTTCCCATGAAAAGGAGCTTGCCAACAACATCAAATGAGACATCCTGCTGCATCAAGAGGGGTAACAAGGTGAGAAAAGTGAATTTCTATTCTGGAGCAGAGAAGAAAGTCAGCTAATTTTTTCCCAATTAATATTTTAATTATCATGAACTTTGGCACATGTTCAGGCATTCATTTATTGTTTGTCAGGTGTCTATTTACCATTTTTCATGGAATCTTTCCACACAGGGGAACACTCTGAGTTTTGACAAAAGCCTCAGTTCATATATATTAATTTTTTACCTCAAAGCTTAACAGATGAAATCTCCCCAAGTTCTGCTGGCAGTAGGCATGCACCCATCCCTTCCAAGACTGCATATGGATAACTGAGAATACCTGAGGCTATTGAAACAACAGCCAGTTTTCTCTGCATTCTTGATCCTGACCCAAATGAAACCAGGGACTGGGCCCAGGACAGAAAACCTTCGTTTTCAGTAAGTTCCAGCTAAAACATCTATCAAACACAGAGGCAGGGACTGCAATTCATGGGGGCCAGCAGAAGTGAAGGAGCAGCAGAAGGTGGCACAGGTTAATGATGTTCAGGGAGGAAATCAGTGTGAGACATGAAGAAGGTGTGACACCAACTTGGGGTACATGGAAAAAGTCAGAAAGTGAAGGGAAGGCAAAAAAGAAGACAGATCAGAGGGCAGATAAAGATCATGGGACCTTTGAATGAACTATGAGAATGATTGCTTTATTATTGGAGCAGGCTGTCCTGAGCAACTTCACCTGAATTCAGTGTCCACACTGCTTTGAGCAGAAGATTTAACTGAATTCCAGTCATGGAATGATTCTCAACAAAGGGCAGTGACAGTCTCCTTTAAATAGGATATAGTAACTGTACAGCATCTTCAGGGAAAAACACTCTCACATATGTCACATTTGATCTTTTCAAGCTGTAGGTTTAAATTACATTTTTAAAATTTTTACTTATGCTTTTTACTATGTTGCTCAGCAATCATCTGCCTTGATCCATCAAAATATGTGTTTAAGGAAGTTAACCACAGCCTAAAAGGAACTGAAAGCTGAATACTTTGGGTTTTTTTTTTCCCTCCAGTACTTGCTGGATACTAAGTAGTTAAAAAAGGCACTGTCTGAAAGCCTTATAGTTCTCTATGGAAACACAGTATCTGATGACATTTTTCTGGATGAAAAAAGAAACATTGGCTGATACCTTACAAAAAGAATGAAACTTTAGCTGCAGCAAAACTAATTAATTATTTATGTAATTCAGTGTGAACATAGGACTTGAAAATTATATTTCTGTATCAATTTGCACTCATGTAAAGAGTCTTAGAATACTTGT